GATGGCGACATCCGTTCCTGAAACCACATCCAACCATTTACTCATTTAGAGCAGAAGCTCCTTGCATGGTGAGAAGACCTCTGCACCAGATCCCACACCACACTTTTGGGGTACCACTCTGCACTCATCCTGCTGGAAAGATACCCCAAGAGCTACCCCCAAGCCTGTGTACAGTGTAACGGGCCACCAGGGCCCATGGGTCCCCCTCTGCTCCTCATCCCCTGCTAGTTTTGGAAGAACATCCCAAAATTTCCTGCTCCAGGACTGTAGGTTATTCTCAACCAAGAGGAAACCACCAGGGAAGGATCTTGCTCCAACACCTGCCTCCAAGCCCACCATCAGGGATGTGACACCCGGAGGACTCAGCCAGGACTGCGATAACCACGCATGGCTGCTTCCCCCTCCCTGCGGCTTCCCCATCTCTGCTGCGCTTCCAATTAAAGAGCTTTTCCTTCCCTGCAGCAACTAAAACCTGCCCGAGCAGTGCTGCTCGCAGCTGCTGCTTTCTGCTCCGGTGGAGGGCAAGCGATCCCCGCAGAGTTTGCCAAGTGGGTGAAGGGAAAGATGTGTCACCTGTCCCCATGGCTGTAACCCTGGGTGTCACCCGGGGACAGGACAGCCTTTCATCACCTACCTGCGGTCCCGGCGTGGGGGAGTCCGGGGCCGTCTCAGACCCGGCTTTGAGAGAGGTTTCCTTGGTGGGCTTCGACCGAAACCAGCCAAACCACCTGAATCCGGAGCTCTGGGAAAGGGAGGTTGTCACAGTCAACGAAAATGGGTGAGAAGGGGAGGGGGATGCCACGGCCACCCAGACGCCCCCCACGCCGGCTGGGAGCAGGCACCATTTCACCCAGGTCACGGCAGGCACGGCAGGTGTCGGGCAAGCTTGGAGCATGAGGTTTCACATCGGCTCTGGCGTGCTCACCTTATCCTCACCCGGCTTCGCCGCCTCTGCTGGTGCCGGCTCTTCGGCAGCGCTCTCTGAGGAAGGCCGGCTGTCATCTTCCGATGAGACGGTGGAGCTCCCCGAGATGGTCCGAGCCCTTGCCTTTGACTCCTCCTGGCATCGGAGATCGGAGCTGCCACTTGCTGTTCCCGGAGGAGCCACCCCAAGCGTGATCAGAGCATCCCTGGGACTCCTCCATGCCAGGCTTAACCGATAGCGTCCCCGGGGACCCCTGCGTCCCTTACACAGCAGGTGGGGAGGGATAGCACCCACAGCAGGGTGCAGTGGGCAGCCCACGGTCCCAGAGGTAGGAGGCTGGAGAGGGCTGCCCTAAGCTCTCAGGTCCCCGAGGGGACGGCTGGCACCATGATGGGGGTTTCCATGCGAATTAGGTACATGGAAGGACGAGCCAGCAAGTCCCAAATCCCCCCGGGGCCCCCAACGGGGCGGTCTCCCTGACCCCTCTGACTCACCTGCTCTGCTGGGAGGGATGGCTGCACCCCCCCGGGGGACAGCAGGGTGCCCCGGGGCTCCCCAGCTTCTCCTGTGGAGCAGAGGGAAGGGCACAGTCAGGCTGTGGCCCCAGGAGCTCCTGCCACGTCTAGCAGAGCTATTTTCAGTGCTTCTGTCATCCCACCCAGAGCAAGGCCGTGTGGCCAAGGTGTCCCCCAAGAGAGGCAAGAGACCATTCTGGACCCTGTCCCTGTCCGTGCCAGCAGCAGGGAGGGAGTAAGCTACAGGGCTGCACCGATACAACTGAAAAACCTGCCTTGCGCTGCTGGATGTGAAGCTTGTTTTCCCATCCGGCAGGGAAGCGGCAGCACTGCCACCAAC